TTACAGAGAATGTTTGCTAGCCTCTGTCTTAGAACATGGAGGATAGCATGGGTTAGTGATGAGTAAAAGCTAAGAGAACAGTTAGAAACATAGAAAGCAGATTCATTGAGTTGTGGGAATTACTGACTTTCAGTGCATGATAAAATACATTTATATGTGCTTAGCTCCTGGTACAATTAAGAATACATTTAAAATTAGTGTCTCAATAATTATTTGCTGTAATGTCAGTGATGTAGGTTTCTACTGGTGTGGTTGTATAGGGTATATTCCCAAACCTGATGCTCCTTTTAATTATTGTTTAATTTATTTAAAAACATATGGCTCAGAATGGGGAAAGTGATTTAAATATTATCTGTTTAATTTGCTAACCTTCCTATGCCCTTTTGCAAACACCTTGTTTTAAATCCATAGAGATTTGGATACTCAGAATAACCGTTCTGTATTACTTTCTAAGCTGAATTTCACTATATGCAATTTGAGCTTCTCTGAAATGAGCAACCACAGGGGTTTGAAAATTCTAGTACAGATTTATAACAAAATGAACAAAGATTGGACACTATTCAGAAACATGTGATGGTACTCAAAGCAGAATGACATTTGCTCAGTAAAGCTGCTGAAGTGTTACTTTCCTTAATACTTTTCAGCATGAAATTTGTCCTCTTGTAAGCAGATTACATTCATATACAGTGTAGGAACAGCTCTTTACAGCAGTAAATTAGATCAACCAAGGTAGAAAAATTAGTGATGATTTTCTTTACAAATATCCACGGTAACAGCATTTCATTTTGTGAACCCTAACGTCTAACTCTATGGGACTAAAACTCCATTCATTACCCTACTCTTGTGTAGAGAGGCGATTTCTTTAGGGGTTATCTCGTGCTGTAGCACTATTATTTTTTACTTATTGGGGAAAATAGGCATGCATTTTCAGGAGTTGTGGATTAGAATGCTCAAGTCTGTGAGTTTGTGTGTGTGTGTGGTGAAAAACATCTCTCTTTCTTAAGGTTCTCATATACCCCCATTAGGAAACATTCCCCAACCTTTGAATTAGAGTCCTATCCTAGAACTATTAAACTGTGATGAGAAATTGTTATTTGCATTTCAAAGTAAAAACTTCATGCATACATGGTATAGTATTAAAACGTCAGTGTCTCTGTATTTTGAGAGAGGCAAGCAGAGAGGTAAAAGGGCTTTCTTCCTGTCTCTGTAATAATCACTCTTTTATTCTGAACATAAACAGTCTATTACTTTGAAAATAAAGTAATATAACTTGTAAGCCTATAAAGAATTTCATCAGGCCATCTTGTTCTTTCCCCTTGAATCCAGAGAGGCTGAATATTAACACATATTATTGAAATTGATCTGTTATTTTGAAAGCTGCCTTGCATCCAATTTCCTCTTCTGAGAAAATAGGAGAAAGGAGAAGGGAAGTTTAAAACTCTCCCTAGATGGGCTCAGGAGTGAGATCAGGTCACATGGCATGGACTGAGGAAAAAAACGGAACCAAAGGGTGAGAAAAAACTGGAAGAGAATTTAGAAGACTGTGGAGAAATCCACTTTATGATGTAACACCAGAAAGAGAAAGAGAATGTTTGGCTTCCACTAACAACATAGGTAGGAAGTGAGTGACCCAAAATCATGAAGTCAGTTCGGGGCTCACTCAGTAGGACAGGGTTTCTCTAAATTTCCTTGTTGGAAGCCTCTACACTGCTCAGTGTATGCCAAGAGTGAGTATGCATCTGTTGAGGGAGAATGTCGGTCATGGTGATGGACTTTTGTGTCCTACCTCTTTGACCTGTGTTTTTCTTAATGAGCTGAAACTGCTTATGGTCTCACTGGGAGTCTGTGTTCTCCTTCAGTACATTTTCTGGTTCTCCTTTTTGGATTACTGCACAGACTGCCGGAGTGCTAGCTGTAGGGTTGGATATTGGTGTTTTAGACAGAACAGGGAAGAGTGAAAGACAGCATTCTTATTCTGATAATCTCTGTGGTCCCACAACTATCTGCTCTCTTGTATTAAGCTTCTGATACACTGCAGGCACCTCTTCTCAGATCCTTTTAATAATTTAAAACAATATTGTTTTGGAACTGGCCAACACCCATGTATTGTGGTGTTGGAATACACAGGGGATTGCAGGAATATAAGTCACAGCTGCTATGGAGCAGCATGCCCTGTATGCAGCAGTGCAAGGAGTAGTTTACAGGTGTTAAGCACTGGCAATCAAGATAGAAAGCATGTTGTTCATAAGATGTGAAGAGTGTTATACTTAATGATACACAAGTGGCACATCTCCATTTGGCCAGCAATACAAGGAAACATACAGATCTGGAAGTCTTTCAAAAGTGCATGCCAAATCAGTTGACATTCCAGTAGATTTCTCTGGAGTTGTGGTTGAGAGGTTGAGAGATTTAGAAATGAATATGGAAGGTGAGATAATGTACATGATGAAGGCTGACTAATATATTTTTGTGGGAAAATTTACCTTGAGTCTTGAAGAGCTGATAGAGCTTCCTTACTAGAATAAAAACTCTTTGTGTGCAAACCTGGTGTCTTGAATACACATCTTTGATTTATCTATACCTTGGCTTTTAGTTGGCTCTCAGATAATGTTTGTTGGAATAAGTCTAAGAGAATCAATCTATAAAGTATAAACAAATCTCGGACTGCTTATATATATCCTGTCACAATGATTATCTTCATTGTTATTTTCAAATACATATTAAATAATTGAGATTGGAATTAATGTGATGTTCTTTAATCCTTGCAGATAAGAGGTTTATTTTATTTAACATGTTCTTGGCTTACAAAATATTAGAAAGTTAATGTTCTAAAGTAAATCTTATTCTTACCTATTTCTCTGAGTTGGTAATGTTAGACACTTTTCCAGAAAATGAGAGTGTGTTAGTGTTCTATTCCTGCATGAGAATATTAACGCCAACTTGGCAGCTTAAAAGAATGTATTAGTTAACTCACAGTTTCCATGGGCCAAGTTTGGGCATGGTTTCCCTGGGTTTTCTGCCTAAGAATCTCACATTGCAGTAAAGGTGCAGTCTATGTTGGGGGTCCCATCTCAAGGCGTGACTGGGAAAGGGCCCATTTTCAAGCTCATGTGGTTGTTGGTAAAATTCAATTCTTTGCAGCTGTAAGAATGAGAGCTTCAATATTTGCTGGTTGTCAGCCAGGGGCCACCCTCAACTCCTTGCTGATTGTTGGCTGGAGGTTGTTCTCAGTGCCTTGTCATGTGGGCCTTCCCCAAGCTACTGTTTGCTTCCTCAAAGCCAGCAAAAGAGATCATCTCTTTGTAACATACAGCTTACACTTCTGTGTAGTGTAATCCTGGAAGTGACTTCTCATCACCTTACTTTATTGGGTAGTCTGTTGGTTAAAAGCAAGTTACGGGTCTCATCCACATTCAGGGAGGGAGGATCACACAAAGGCATGAACAACAGGTGGGGGAACTGCAGGGCCATAGTAGAGTATGTTCACCACTTATAGGGAGGGAGGCATCACAATTTTTGTCACTTCTTAATTTCATCAGTGATAAAGCCTCATGGAAAATATTTACTTAGGTTGAATGACACAAATATTTCAGACATTAATGAATTCAGTAGAGAAGTTTTTTTCCTGTTTCTATTTCGCTTAATTCTACAGAATTGCAGGTTTTTCTGCAGGGTTCTGAAGATTGCCTTGCTAAATTAGTTTTGCATTATTACATTTTGAAAAACGATTGGTATTAGTGGGTCCATTATAAAGCAAAATATTTATCTAGTAAAGACTAGAGGAAAGTGATGATGGTCAAGGTAATATCTTCACTCTTAGCACCCAAATTTACTCACTTTTCGTTCTTTAAATCTGTATCTGTTGTACTTCTCTTATGTTGAATAGGTCTATGTTGCTGTTATTGTACCAATGTATAAATCAAGTCATAATTCCACAGTGAATCAGGAGCCAAATTCTAGATACTCCAAGAAACTCTCTCTTCCCTTTCCACTAACCATGCCTTGATTTTTCTTTTTTTCAATTCTGCAATTCTCTGGTAACTATATCAACTTGACTTTATCATACCCGTCCAGTCCTGTTTCTTGTCTTTGCTATTTGGTTCTTTCTCTCTTCCTCTTTTTTTATTTTCTGTTCTAATGATCATTTTCAGAGTTTATTTCTGCCTAGCATTTTTTAAGCCTTTTTTACACTGTGTATAGAGATGTTTACTTTTATGGAGTCATTATTGACTGCTTGATAGCTTGTCCCTTGAAAATACTGAGATTAATTAATTAATTAAAATAGTTCCTGTGAGATTTGGTCAATTTTTTCTTGACTTGAATTATTGTTAAGTTGTATCTGTTTCAGCTTCCATTCTGTTGCTATTTGTAGTCCCAAAATAAAGAATTCTCAGATGACTGAAGGAAATTGGGAATATGTTTTATACTGTTCAAATGAGACTCCCTCAGGGTTGATTCAGCTAAGACATTTAAGTGGAGCAGAAAGCAATTTTAATTAAAATCTTCTTAAGTTTATAAGCATGATAGGATATAGGATTACAAATAAAAGGCAAAACACAGACATAGGTAATTTTTGCTCCATCTCGAATCTTAGCCATCTAAGCAAATTCTTTTTTTGCAGATAAATAAAAAACAAGTATGATAAAAATTAATAAATATATCAAAACCATCACCAATGAATAATAACTTCTTATTCATATTTACAAGAAGCTGGAACACCTAGATAAAAACTTGGATGCATTTGAAATTGCCAAAACCAGGTCCAGTTACCTAGTTATTGTCAGAGTCAGAATCTCTTGTCACTTGAGTTACAATATATACATTTCTTTGGACAAACAAGAATTTACCACATGTGTGAATCATCAAGGTGATGCATAGAAAAACTTGAGGGTTCTGGACTTGTCCTTTCCATCTCTCAGAGGACAATCCTGCTGGCTTTTGTTGTTTTAAGAATTTGGGGTCATGTAATTTAGGTTAGGAATCAGGAGACTAGTACTGACCTGATGCAGGTGCCATTATTGCGGCACGGATGATGAGCACACCAAGGGACATGACAATTCTCAATATTCTTTCCACGTCGTGCTTCATCGATGATGAAGAATTCTTTGTTGTTTACTTGAAGGTCTAGAATGCAGCCCCTAAACCCATAAACAGGACCTGCTTTCTTATGAGTTTGAACATTTGCAGGAACATGACCAAGGAACATTGATTCAAAATATGCCTGTAGAAAAAGCAACAACAACAAATATTGTAAGGTGTTGTCAGATTTTGTGGAAAAGATTTAGGATGTTTGGTTCTGTAATTGGATGTTTTAGTGTGTTTTTCTATGTAAAATAGGTTACTGTTGTTGGCTAGTTTTTTCCGTTCTAGGTGGGAGGATATGTTAGTTTAGAAAATGGTGTTTTTTTACATCTCTTTTTTTGAATCTCTAGTAATATCTAATAATATTTAGCAGAAAAATAGACACTCAGTGAAACCTGTTAATTGATTAGTTTGAAATTATTTTTCGAGCTGATGTGTTTGCATTTTTGTATAAACATTACCTAATAATAATTTTAAAAGGAAATAAAACCATGTTAACTAGCTGTTGTTGTGGTTAAATTGCGTTCCCTCCAAATTCATATATTGAAGATCTAAACCCTAGTACCTCACAATGTGTCTTTATTTAAAAATAGGGTCATTGTAGATATCATTAGTTAAGATGAGGTCAATACTGGAATCAGGAAAAGCTATAATCCAACAAGAGCTTTTGGATATTTATAAGGACTTTATAAGGGCAACAGTCTTTTTAGGACTTTTATAAAGAAGGTTAGATACAGACTAACCTGTACAAAGGGAGATTGCCATGTGAACAAAAAGGCAGAGATCAGGGTGATGCATCTATGGCCTAAGGAACATCAAATATTGTTAATACCTTACCAAAAACAAGCTGAGAGGCATTAAACAGATCTTTCTCAAGCCATCATATGGAAAGAACTCTACAGTTCTTGAGTTTCTAGTTTCCAGAGCTGTAAGAACTGTAAGACATTTCTGTGGTTTAAGCCACCCACTTTGTGGTACTTTGTTATGGCCACCCTGACAAAGTAATGTAATAATAATGTATTATAAATATCCTAAAATATGAGCAAAATGTATGGTGCTTGCATATGGTGCTTGGAAAATTGAAAATGTTACATTTTCCTTTCTCTTAAATTTGAACATAAATATGCATGAGAAGAACTTTGCTTGGATAATGTTCACTTTCTTAATTGACCTTTTATTCCAAAATCAGATCAAGAAAAGACTCTTGCTTTGAGAAGACACAAAGAAATCATAGCATCTTGCTGGGATAACTGGCTTGCCATATGCAGAAGACTGAGGTTAGTTACCTTCTTAGACCATATACAAAAAAAAAACACAAGATGGATTGAAGACTTAAATATGAAATGAAAAACTGTAAAAACTCCGGAAGACAACCTAGGCAATACTATCCTGGACATAGGAACAGACAAAGATTTCATAACAAAGACACCAAAAGCAATTGCAACAAAAGCAAAAATTGACAAGTGGGACCTAATTAAACTTAAGAGCTTCTGCACAGCAAAAGAAATTGTCAACAGAGTAAACAGACAGCCTACAGACTGGGAGAAAATTTTTGCAAACTGTGCATCTTACAAAGTCTATTATCTAGCATCTATAAGGAATGCATAGAAATTTATAAGAGAAAAATAACCCCATTTAAAAGTGGGTATCACCCCAATTCCAGGCTGTGCAGCAAAGAAAATGAGTAGACAGCTTATGTGTACATTTTGTGTTTAAATAAAACTGTAAAAACTGAAAAAAAGTGGGCATAGAACATGAACAGATACTTTTTAAAAGAAGATATGCATGCAGCCAGCAAGCATATGAAAAAAAGCTCAATATCACTGATCATTAGAGGAATGCAAATCAAAACCACAATGAGATACCACTGCACACCAGTCAGAATGATTACTATTAAAAAGTAAAAAAAAAACAAAAAAACAAAAAAACAAAAAACAACAGACGCTGGCTAGGTTGCAGAGAAAAAGGAACACTTATGCACTGTTGATAAGAGTGTAAATTAGTTTCGCCATTGTGGAAAGCAATATGGTGATTCCTCAAAGAGCTAAAAGCAGAACTGCCATTTGACCCAGCAATCCCATTATTGGATATATACCCAAAGAAATATAAGTCATTCTACCACAAAGACACATGCACCTGAATGTTCATTTCAGCATTATTCATCATAGCAAAGACATGGCATCAACCTAAATTCCAATGAATGACAGATTAAATAAAGAAAATGCTGTACATATACACAATGGATAGAATAATATGCAGCCATAAAAAAGAATGAGATCATGTCTTTTGTGGCAACATGGGTGGAGCTGGAGGCCATTATCCTCAGCAAACTAATACAGGAACAGAAAACCAAATTCTGCATGATTCTCACTTATAAGTGGGAGCTAAATGTTGAGAACTTACAAACACAAAGAAGAAAACAACAGACACTGGGGTCTACTTGAGGGTGAAGGATAGGAGGAGGGAGAGGGGCAGGAAAAATAACTATTGGATACTGGGCTTAATTCCTAGTTGATGAAATAATCTGTACAACAAAACATCATGACATGAGTTTACCTACATAATAAACCTTCACATGTACCCCTAAACCTAAAAAAAGTTAACAGAAAAAGAAGTCACACTATCTTAAAGGCAACTAACCCATTTATGGAAAATTAGGAGAAAAAAGAGAGTCAGTAATATTAGGCCCTTGATCTACCTTTATTTGATCAATACATCAGAGCCATATCTTACATGAGAGTTAGCTCTAAAGATGAATATTTCATAGAAGTTAAATTGTCTTTGGACATCCTGTAGGCACCACATTGGAGACTAATATGCTTTCTCCAGATAATTCCAACAGAGCTACATATTTCCTCCAGCTTTGTAATAGCTGCTGTTTTGTTCAGTGCAGCTGTAGATGAAGCTGGCATTTCACATCATGTCATATAAAAACTCTAGAACCCCCCTCTGTGTGATGAGATGTACCACTATCAGACACAAGAGGGAACTGATACTGAGTATGATAAATTCACTTCTCACATCTGATGTTCATTGCAGAGTTATATGCATTGACCAGAATGATACTAAAATCACTTAACATGATTTAAGTTGCTATTCAATTTCTTCTTTCCCACCCTCAGCAACATATATAATTGAATTCTAATCATTTAGATGTACATCAAATGCAGATCCTCTCTGTAAGAATTTATGAGCTACAATTGATGTCTAAATAAACTGGTAACAAGACCCTGCTCTTCAGGGCTGTTAGGCATGTGGCAGGTAGACACAGCAACATTTGTGTGGGTAACGTCTTCGATATCCTCATTCCCCAAACACACTTTCATACCTCATGCTGACATCTGAAAAGTATTTAAATTGGTATTACAGATACAATAAAATGGAACACTATCATTGCCAGAATTAAAAAACTAAAGCCAAATAATTAAGTTAGGCGTCTGGAGGGATGACAGTGTGAGAGATGCCCAGCAATTTTGCTTCACATTTATACTAATATGTGCGTTTTCATGTGGATGTACTTTTAGAGAACAGAAGCATGTTGAATTCTAGGAAGAGCAAAGCATCTCCATGACCCATAACAGGTCAAGCTAACTCTGTATTTGCGTTCTTGTTCTTTTTTAAAGACCAAGACTCTGCTCCTAAGGGCATCCTTATTTTTTTTTTTCCTGGATATTTCTTATTTAAGTCCCAGAGGGTGATTTTTTTTGGGTATGGTATGGGAAGCTAAAAGTTTCAAGGTATATCAATAGAGCTGTCACATAGCATAGGTGTATGTCTGTTTGTTTTCACATTCTACAGACTGTTAGGAGAGCTTTCTATCAGTTAAGATAAGTGATCCACTGTTAATACAATTGGAAACTATCATGAACTTTCAGACTCTGCTTCCAAAAGATGACCTTCCTCTCACCGAGGATCTCTGACATCTTTGTGTATTGATCACACACCTGGAAAAGTGAACCTTTCACTGTTTTGACAAGTGTGCTGTTTTAGCAAAAAACTGGTAGAGAATAGAAGAATACCATCCTTTTCTTTCAGCAGTAGAAAGATATGAAGGAAAGTCTATAGAGCCATCAATGATTTATTGGACCATTAAAAAAACACCCAAACAATGGAAGTAGATGGCTCTTGTATTTCTTCTGATGTGAGGTTCACGCTTAGCTGGAGTCCTGAAATGTCTAAAAAAGCAGATGCTGTTGGCTGCACATAGATAACCATTAAAATGGTTGACTTCTTCTATTCCCAGACTTTCAATTATCTAAGAGATGACTTTTGCGTGTATAATTATTCCTAAGGAGACAGGTCTTTAAAATGTCTTTTCTAATAATTCCTTGTGAATCAGACTATGAAGAATAAAGTCTGACATCAAGATATGATGTTACAAGATAAAAGCACAGAGAACAGACATGGACAATCAAGGAGGAATCATGAAAATAATAAAAAATATCAATGATAATCGGGGAAAAGGACTCTATATCTGACAAGAGTGAAATGAACACTCCCTTTCCTTTCAGAGTTTCTCTTTAAAGGAAGAATGTAGTTACTCTTTTGTAATAGGTATGAATGAAAAAGAAAATAGGCAAAGGGGAAGTAAAATTCTAAAATCCAGCAGGGTGGAGGAGAGGGTAGTTAAGAAGCAGTTTTATTTATTTTTTGTTTTGTTTTAATTTAAATTTAGATGTTGGAGTACTGCATATCTTTCTGTAATGACATTTTGATTCAATGTTTGCTTTTATTTTACATTCATAATTCTTTATCTGAAGTTAAATGGCTTTTGTGTTAATAAAATATAGGAGGTGATTATAAATATACTTTTGGTTAAGATTATCAGAACATACTTGTCTTTAAGAATATAATGACTTATAATTGAAATAAACTGGCTTTTATTTAAGAGCCATTACCATTTTTGGTTTTTAACATTATCTGAATTGTATATAAACAAATTTAAAATCAGAAATATTAGTTTTGGAATAAAGGTGCATAAGAGATGCTGGATAAAGTATTTCAGAAGGATTTACTAAAGTAACTTTTCACATGTGAAGAAGGCTTAAATTCCTTAAAATTATTGAAAGAAAATAAGTGAAAAGGGAAAAAAATAATACAAGCAGTATTTATCAAAATTCCCATTCTTTTGCAGTTAAA